GGTTTTTACCATCATAAATGGAACTTACAGAGGTAAAGGAAGGGGGGTTGACTGATGGTATACTCTGGGAATCAAGTGGGACTTTCGCTAGCCGCTGGGCATTGGCCTGTGTGTTTTGGGATTTGGCTGGGAATTTGTGAGTGTGAATTGGGAATCACTTGCTATGAACATGGGATGCTATGGGTTGGTTGAAGGTTTCGAAACAATGAACAGAATCTATGCTCCGCAGGGTCTGAAAAAAAAGACATAGCCATGTAGCTGTAAAAAAAAAACGCATTTTAAAACAAACCCCAAGTATCATTAATTGTTGGTCATATATTCCGTTGAATCCATATTAATTATATATATATATACACCCATGTTTGGTGGTTAATATTCACCTTGAAATCACCTTGATATCTATGTACAGCCATGATATCCCCAAGAAACCTTTGAACTCATTATTGAAATAAATCCCAACTGTTGATAGTTCGACCTAACTGGTTCAATACATCCACAATAAACCACAGTTGGTGATATATATATATATATATAATTATATATATTACTATTATTATTATCATTATTACAAATATATCCTATATATACATATGATATTATATATACGTGTATATATATATAATTATATATATATAATTATTATTATTATGATTATCATTTTTATTATTACTATTATTATTAGTATTATTATTATAATATATATATATATATATATATTATAATTATATATATATACATTATTATACATTATTATACAATGTATATATAATTATATGGCGATGTTCGTCAAAAGCCACCACATTGCCGGCCCCAGCGGCGGTGCAAATCATCTGACATTGCCCAGGCGAAGTAACCTCAGTTTTTGGCACCTATATGAGACCTACGGGAGACCTACGGGAGACCGGACATGGCAAGGTGCTGCCCCAGTCATACCGTGGCCAAGGCAGCCAAGGCAGGCTAGAAATATCTAGAAATCCACGATATAACTTGGAGAACTAATCAAGGGTTTATGGCTAGATATTGGCTATATGGCCAGAGATGGTCAGATAATTTTGTTGTCCAAAAACTGGAAACAGTTTCATCATGACTATTTCAATAGGGATTTACTTTCCTATCTTTCTGCGGAGAACTGTAACTAAACCAACGTATAACGGGGAGGCCACCTGGGAATCAGCCAAGTTATAACTCTTCAAAAAACGGGATAACCCGTCGGAAGAGACTTACGGTCACCCATATCAACGGTATGTTATCCCCTTTATGACAGGGTTACACCACGGTTGCTAACCACATACATTAAGTTATACTAACCAAATCAGATAATCACAATTATTGGATGCATCACCCTCTGTTCCTGGTTCTATCCCCATGTTTTGCGCTATAGGGAAGTTGGTTAAAAACTACAAACAGTATCTCTAGGATTTCTGGTGGATGTATCTACAGTTGAAATCAGTTGAATGGGTAAAACTAGACCAAGTGACCAAATCATGTCTTCTGGGGCCCACTTTGTAACCAGTAATCACGATAAACTAGCCTGGATATATTGTTCAAAACAAAAACTAACAGAGATATGAACAAAAACGATAGTTCATGATATGTCTATGCTGCTGCATGTGTTGAAACAAAAACTATTCTTGAAAACTGTGGAAATTCTATGTCTTCGCCATATATGTATATACCCTCTGGTAAACGTTTACATAACTATGGAAAATCACTATTTTTGATGGCTAAATCAACGAACTTTCTATGGCCATTTTCCAGTTCCCAGAGGGTAGCCACTGTCGTCCAAGGTGCCCCCTTCAGGGGTTTAAAGTGGTGAGCGTCATGAGAGACGATGTCAAACCCGACCTCGGCGCGGTTCGGTTTCGAAAAATCGCTTTCGCAAATGAAAACATACGTAAGGAACATCTATAAGGAAACCATTGCCCCCTAGTTATGTTTGTTGGTTTATAACCTATGAATACTATAGTTGAGTTGTATCCCACTTAAACCCAACAGTTAAGAAAATTATGTGTCAACTTAGCTATTTATGAGGCCCTACCTGTAGGAAACCATGAAATATTGTTTCGTTGCCCCTAAAAATAGGGTCCCTAATGGAAATGTTTTGATGAGATTGTTGTTTCGTTTCGTTCTCATCAAAGATACGTGTTTCCTGCTGATGTTCCCTTTCGGCCATAGGATGATGGTGGTACCCCGTTTTCAGATCAAGCAAGCTATTTACCACCCATTTACGACTCTGGGCACACAATCTCATGGTGCAAGCTGGAATGATGTCCTCAGACTGGCCACCAAATATTGGTGAAGTTCTGTGGATAGGCCATGAGGCTAGCTTTGTGACTGTATAATTCATAGAAACATTTCTTGCAATCCCTGTGGGTTTCAATCCTTCTTGGCAGCATCAAAGATATGATTTTTGGGGTGAAGATGGGTGAAGTACCTTCTAAGGAAGGATGTTAGCAAGTCGATAGGCAAGGTACGGTATCATGTGGTACCCATGAAAAACTACGCGTAGACACCCCGTGTACCCAACATCACTTTTAGGTTTCCAAGGTTTGAGGGTTTGGAATTGGGTTTTAGGGTTTATGTGTTTAGGTTCTAAGGTTTTCTCTTGTTTTTTTCAATTGCATTTTGAGGCTAGGGCTTGTGGTTTAGGATTTAAGGCTTTGGGATTTGATGGTGTTAGGATCCTACTCTTGATGATAAACCATCCCCATCAATAGATGCGATGTTTATGATAGACCAAAACAAAACCCGAGCCGGTTGCAGCACCCAAAGCTAGCGATTAGGTGGGTGGACCCGAGTGACAAGTTTCGAGTAGGCGTAGAATCCTAGTCGCATATGGGTACTTCATGTTATTGCTTAGGTATCGCGGTATTTCTGAAAACTTGGGGTACCCCAGAATCATTGGTCTCCAGACTTGCTTTTAGATACTTGGTTCCTTGTCCCTCTTAAGGTCTGCTTCCACTCTGCTGTGGCTGATCTTGGCCTCAAGTGGACACACATTTATCCAGCTTGAGATGAGCACACTGGTCGCCACATTCATCGTTTTTTGTACAAAGCAGACTCTTGAACCAGGTAGCGTTTCTTACATCAGACTGGAGCAGCACTGCAAACAGGTCAAGCAGCGCCTGGTAGTTTTTCGCCCGAATGTGTTTTCTCCCAGGGTTTTGTATCCACTACGCTCAGTTTTATGAACTCCTCATCTATACTTGGTGCTAGGAAAAACTGCATCTCAGCCTTTGGCACTGCTTGCTACAACCAGTTGCACACAACATTCAGGTTTCATAGATATGCGCATGCAACCGGCAAGGCAATCCAAATAGCGGTTGACATGTCAACTACTCAATTGTAGGTTTTTCTCCTTGTTTGGAGCTGGTTGGTCATGGACCGCATTTCTAAACTCCTGACACGCAATGCCTATAAGTTTCAGCGGGCTGCAAACCCAACTGTTGAGTGCACATGGAGTTCTACACCATCATAACACCAAATATACCATTTGGTTATGACTAACATAGCCATGGAAAATCACAATTTTTAATAGGTAAACCATCTGTAAATGGGCCATTTTCCATGGCTATGTTAAATAACCAGAGGGTATTGCTATTTTTAGGCGATGGACATCCATAAATCTCAGTTCTTTCAAGGTTCACCAGAGACTGGATCGGTGAACTGACCCATAGCCATATCCCGATGTCACGTCCCAAATTGGGATGCAACTATAAGTTATGGGCCATATGGATAATGACAGCTACCCTCTGGTAAACTAACATAGCTATTGAAAATGGCCATTTGTAGTGGATGTACCCATTAAAAATGGTGACTTTCCATAGATATGTAAACGTTTACCAGAGGGTACTTCGGCGACTTAGCCTACTTATAACTGTGGTTACCCACTTACCTTGGGTGAATCACCAACTTCGACCAAGCTGCAACTTGCTTAGGACAGTTGTGTGAAAGTTGCCACCTGAGCAGATGTGAAAGACCATTTGGCTGCAGAAATTTCTCGTCATACCCTCACTCAAACATTGCAATTGGAAATCCCAGATGAATGGAGGCATTAATAGGAAAAGCATGGAAACACGTCTATAAATGGTGGATTTTCCATTGCCATGTTTGATTGTCAGAGGGTCATTGATTCAGGAATTCCAAAGTAGATGTGCTGGGCTTCGGGAATGAGCCCACCCGCTCGGTGGCCGAATTGAGAAACGGGAGACCGATGAGGCCAAGGGAAGTCCCGGATTGGGTTGTCCAATATGTAGCTGCTCTATGGACCTACATAGAACACATCTTCGAGCTTCATGAAGAAGCGATTCCTCCCAAAGCTCGTCACAGCTGATTACTATCTATATAATAAACAAACAGGCCCTACAATGTGGGGCCCCCCAGTGATGTTTGTTGGTTTATAAACCCCATGAATACTATAATATAGCTATAAGTACAATAAACCATAGTTATTGGAGTTATAAACCAACTTAGCTATCGTTTGGGGGCCCCACATTGTAGTCCAGTGGATGGTTCAGAAATCCACGGTTTATTTTCCGGTGCTTGGTTCATCCCACGAGAAATTTTAAGGCACCATGGCACCATCCCTGAAAAAAATCGTCAAGACTCTGGAGGAAAGTCGTCATGCCATTCAGCTCCTTCCAACGGATGCGAGTCGCGAGCAGCTTCGCTTGCGGGCTCCCAAGTTTTGGATGAAACGAATGCAAGCGTTTTAAGCATCAAAAATGGTGCTTTAAAGCTGCACAAATGATCAACGATGGGGGTTCAACCATGTTTGACTGTTTGAACATCAAACACACGAGGATTTGACCCACCAGATGCACAAGCATTCTGCCAGACATTGCGATGCACCGACAACGTGGAAGTATAGGAATATATCATATATCTGTGGATCAAAGAGTAGGATATGTAGATCATACATAACTTGTATACCACAATGTAACATCTCCATCTATGAATTTCCATTGTCCAAGGTGTTTATCATTGCTTCAGCCGTTGCTTCAGCCGTCCTTGACGAACTCGGGATGATTCGAATAGGTGTGATACACCACATCTGTCAAGCGACCTGCGGATGCGGGAAGCGGAAGCTGGGCTCCGCGTTCGCCGAAAAAAACCATTGTATAGAGTTATGGCCATTTATCAGTTATAAGTACTTATAACCCCATTTCTAGAATGTATAATCCCATTTATAACCACTTATAACTGGTAAATGGCCATAACTGTACCATCATTTTTTGAATGTGAATATCATCTGAATATCCCCAAAGTGATGTGGATCCCAAGGGTTGGCTGTCTGCTGTTACAACCCATCCGAACTCAGAAACTGCTGGAAGTGGCGTCACCAAGGGGGAAACAGCGGCTTTTTACCTGGAGAAGCTCTGAGAGTAGACCATCACAATTCACATTTCACATTGCCACTACGTATACAGTATACACCATGTTCAGGTCCACACCGAAAGATGAATTTGTTGGTTATACATGTCATTAAATCTTTAAATCAAACATAGTTACCATGAAGTACTGTAAGCAACTATAACTACATTCAGTTGTGCTATGCCCCAAAGTCTTTCGGGAAGATTGTCGGAACCCTCACTTTTTGGTGACCCTTACAGTACTTTGTGATTGGCGCTTTAAAAAATAGATTCTAGATGGCTCTGGGTTTGCAAAGTCCCCCTGTTATTCGCCGCTTTTTACATAAACATCAAAAACAGTAGAAAAACCATAGAACAAACTCTAAATTAACCCTAAAGAAGAACCCTAAACCGCCCTAAACCCCTACATAAACCCTGAAAAAGCCCTGTGATAATGTGCATTAATGTATTGTATAGTGGAATACCTGTGGGGCTTAGCGCACGTGCTGCGGGTATAACTATATACCATTACAGTTATGGCCATTTATCAGTTATAAGTACTAACAAGTCACCCCATTTATAGAATGTTTCTCATCCCATAGAAATAACCACTTATAACTGGTAGCCATGGCCATAACTGTACCATCATTTTTTGAATGTGAATATCATCCTATGGGTTACATACCATGAAAAGATCCCATATTTTTTGGGGCTCCATTGTCACTGCCACCCTGGGAATCCTCGATGCGTAGCGTTCGGGGCTGCGGCACCTACTTTCACATGCCAGGCTTTCACCCATTGGTCGTAGGGAAGCACTTCAGACTTGGCGCTGTCGGCGGTGACGCCATTTTTACCGAGAAAATCCGAAGCATGTTTTGATGGTAAGAAATGGTAAGAAAGCATGATGGAAGCATGTAAATGATTCCTTGAAACCAGTGAAGTTGAGGGATCTTTGAATGTTCGAATTACATTGTTACATACTATAATTTTACTGTTTTGTTTAAGGGTTCAAAGGGAACGAAAAATCAGGTGAAATCACAGTAGACCGTGAAGCCGGAGTTACTTAGAGTGAGCGTGTCAGGGGGGCAGTTTCAAAAAGAATATCAAGCGGGTCAAATTCTTGAAAGCATTGAACTCACTCATTTCACCCTGGCAGGCGTCACACATATACAGCCAACATGGTTGTTTGTTTCGCGTTCGTTGATTTCGTCAGTCATCTGTTCAAGGAAAATGCACCTTAACACCTGCTGTCATCCCTTTTTACCAATAAATAAATTAAGGAATTCCCACGATTGGCCACAAGCCCCAACAGAATCCCCTGTAATTACTAAAGTAATCAACCTGGGTTTCGGCCACTGCTCACATGCTCACGATTGTGTTACCATCCACTATCCTATTCTACTCGCCATTTCCTTCAAACCTTGGGAATACAAGCAGAAAAACCTATGTTGTTTGGATTTTGTAAAGTGTACATACATGATCATACATGGGGATTTCTCGAAAATGGTGGCTCCCTAAAACCATGGTTTCAGTACTAAAATTGTCTAATTTGGGATTAGGAAACCTCCGCATGAAGCAAATGCATACCACCACACCAACTAGTGATAATGCCACCATCCATATATTCTACCTACTGTTGGTTGAAAGTTATTGTAGGACACAAACAAATCCACTTGATAAACATGAAATGCTTGTGTACCACCAAACGAGAAGTGTTGGTTTCCACACCATCCCTTCTGGTGAGGTCCTAATATAGTGGGGCTTCCGACTTCGCACTTGGCTTGTTTTTACTCAATCAAATGTAGATGTCAATTCACCATAAACACAACATTTCTATCGTAAGTATAAATTCATAGAGACACTTACTTACCCATCTTGGCACCGCCAATTTTCTAGCCAGACAACAACCCCACAAAAAAAATACTTTACTTCGTGTGATCCCCACCATGACATTTATACATTTTGTTACTGGCAAATCTTCTGGCATTCTATCTGACATATTTTCTGGCATTCGATCTGGCATATCTTCTGGCATTCTACCTGGCATATCTTCTGGCAGATGTTCTGGCATATCTTCTGGCAGATGTTCTGGCATATCTTCTGGCATATCTTCTGGCATATGTTCTGGCATATCTTCTGGCATATTATCTGGCAAATCTTCTGGCATTCCATCTGGCATCTGGCTATCTAGCATTATCTCTTCTGGCATATTATCTGGCAAATCTGCTGGCATTCTATCTGGCAAACATTCTGGCACTTTATCTGGCATATCTTCTGGCATTCTATCTGACATTCTATCTGGCATTCTATCTGGCATCTTCTGGCACTCTATGTGGCATATCTTTTGGCGTGGATACTCGCGGTTGAGGTCCGGCAGGGAACACTGGGCGTGGTGGTCGTGGTTGAGGTCCGGCAGGGAACACTGGGCGTGGATACTCGCGGTTGAGGTCCGGCAGGGAACACTGGGCGTGGATGGTCGTGGTTGAGGTCCGGCAGGGAACACTGGGTGGGGATGGTCGTGGTTGAGGTCCGGCAGGGAACACTGGGCGTGGATAGTCGTGGTTGAGGTCCGGCAGAAAACACTGGGCGTGGATGGTCGTGGTTGAAGTCCGGCAGGGAGCAGGAGGAGAGGAGACGAGGAGAGGAGACGAGGAGAGAGGAGAGGAGGAGGAGGAGGACGAGGAGGATGAGGAGGAGGACGAGGAGGAAGCAACTGACATAAAATCTAACAACCCTCACCTGGCAGGTGGGGAAAAAAGAAACAACAACTGTTTGGCTAGTTATTAGAGATACCCTCTGGTAAACTAACATAGCTATTGAAAATGGCAATTTATAGTTGATTTACCCATAAAAAAATGTGTTTTTCCATAGTTATGTTAGTTTACCAGAGGGTAGCCATAGCAAAGCATAACTACAGTACCCGGCTCCAGGCTGCAGGCCGCATCGAATCTGTTCTGAACATGTGGTTCCCGGTCTGACGCAGATAATGCTAATGATATCACATATGATATAATGATAAATCCCTGTTTCAATATATTTTCAAAAAGGGCTTATCATGATAGTGACGTATCATGATATACAACAGAAAATATTAGATATGATTAGATCATGTGCCAAGTTTGTTGTATATCATGATCTACTATATGGATGGTCAACATGTGTTGTCAACATGTGTTGTATCAATTTTGGAGATATACTAACATGCTGCGATTAGATCCGAAGATTGCAGTTATGGCCATTTATCAGTTATAAGTACTAACAAGTCACCCCATTTATAGAATGTTTCTCATCCCATAGAAATAACCAGTTATAACTGGTAGCCATGGCCATAACATTGGAGATATTCAACATGTCTTTCGGATGGTGACCCCCATTTCTTCGTGACGAGACGCCTGGTGGATCGGCAGCCATTTTTGCATCAACGGCATCGAAGGCGAACCTGCGGAATCGGGATACCGCGTTTGAGATCCAGCAGAGTTACCTTTTGTTGATGGGAAGAACATGATTTACCTTATTGTAATCAAAACAATAGCCATGGAAACAAGAGAATTTAACTACTCTGATGATTTGCCTCTTGAAAAGGATGATTTTTCATAGCTATCTTAATCACCACAGAGTATGCACTCATGTGGACTCCCAGCCGGCCCATTTTCACTGCTTGAACCTCAGTGAGCCTCAGTGTTCATGTGTTAAATCATGTGAACTCCTGTTTTCAAGTGCTGAAATCAGGATTTCATGGTCAAATTCCCAGATCTTCCCTCCCGTTTTTTTCCAAAAAATCCCTCCCGGTCCACCCCCTGGCGGCACCGTCGACACGACCCTCGAAGCCCTCGAAGTTTTCGAAGCGATGTCCAGAGCTAAATCTTTGCCAGGCTACCTGAGCTGGAACTCATGGTAGTAGCATTAACAAAGAAGGTTGCAATTAGTACAATGTGGGGCCCCCCAGTGATGTGAACGTTGGTTTATAAACCCCATGAATACTATAGTTATAAGTACAATAAACCGTAGTTATTGGAGTTATGGCCATTTATCAGTTCTAAGTACTAACAAAACTCCATCAGTTAGAATGTATCTCATCCCATAGAAATAAGCAGCTAATAATGGTAAATGGCCAAGTTATCATAACTGAAGGTTGCAATTAGTACCATTGAGTTACTATACTAATGTTACTATAATAGTTACTATATATATATATATATATCATTCTATCCCATTGTATTTACCAATGGTGATTAATGGGAGATATTGGGTACGGACCTCACATTCGACCCTACCGCAGCCTCACATTCGACCCTACCCCAAAATAACGTCATGCAGCCTCACATTCGACCCTACCCTAACAAAAATACGCAACCCTTCCAGGAAAAAAGGCAACTTTTTCCGGTTCACATTTGACCCTACCCCACTTTAACCTGCCTCAAACCAGAAAAATTACATTCATTGCTATCAAATCAACCAGCCCCCCTTGCACAACTACATTCATTGGTATCAAATCAACCAGCCCCCCTTGAACCATTACATTCATTGGTATCAAATCAACCAGCCCCCCTTGAACAATTACATTCATTGCTATCAAATCAACCAGCCCCCCTTGAACAATTACATTCATTGCTATCAAATCAACCAGCCCCCCTTGAACAATTACATTCATTGGTATCAAATCAACCAGCCCCCCTTGCACAATTATATTCATTGGTATCAAATCAACCAGCCCCCCTTGAACAATTACATTCATTGGTATCAAATCAACCAGCCCCCCTTGAACCATTACATTCATTGGTATCAAATCAACCAGCCCCCCTTGAACCATTGCATTCATTGGTATCAAATCAACCAGCCCCCCTTGAACCATTACATTCATTGGTATCAAATCAACCAGCCCCCATTGAACCATTACATTCATTGGTATCAAATCAACCAGCCCCCCTTGAACAATTACATTCATTGCTATCAAATCAACCAGCCCCCCTTGAACAATTCCATTCACTGGTATCAAATCAACCAGCCCCCCTGGCACAATTGGATTGATTGGTATCAAATCAACCAGCCCCCCGTGAACCATTACATTCATTGCTATCAAATCAACCAGCCCCCCTTGAACAATTACATTCATTGTCATCATCATCATCATCATCATCACATTCATCACGATCATCCGTCATCATCAAAGTCGTCACCATCATCATCATCATCATCACCATCATCACCGTCATCATGATCATGATCATCATCATCATCATCACCATCATGATCGTCCATCGTCATCATCACCATCACCATCACCATCACCACCACCACCACCACCACCATCATCATCATCATCATCATCATATCCGGAACCCTCTTTTCGCAGCTAAAAACGCTACTTTCTCACATTCGACCCTACCCCAAAAGGGGGGTAGGGTCATATGCGAAACCATTGGGGTAGGGTCAAATGCGAGGCGCGTACCATGGGGAACTGTGTGGGAAATATGATGGGATAAGGGGATTTGATAACTAATGATAAACCCATATGATATATCATGATATATAATATGATAATATGATAGGCATGGTAAACACCATGAACTAATGGGAACTTTTCCGAGGAAATCACAAGCATGGTCATCTATACTAGTATTAAATGTATATGTTCCTATTATGAAAAAGATATTGTGATAATATGTCCCATTATATACCATCATATCATATCCCGACAGAATCCCAATGGTGACACATGGGATGTAGTCGAAAAATGTGGAACACATGTGCGATTTTTGATGGGATACTGAATATGTTTTGAACACTGCTCAGTTGGTTGTAGGCTTAGTAGAGTTTAATGGGAACATGGCGATAGAATGGGGAGAACATGCGAACACCACCAAGGTGCCACCACCAGTGCTGCCACCGACAGTCCTCCGACGATGCGAAACGCACTGATGCTGCAGCGACGGGAGGTCCAGGTGAGATTGGGTTCCTCTTCACCCCTGGCAGCGGGTTGCCAGTGGAATTGTCTCACCGGATGTTTGTTGTAAAAAAGATCGATTTTTGGATCCAACTTTTTAAACACATGGTGACATGAGGTTCTGGTTGGTGGTTTTAGCCATCTTGAAGAATATGAAAGTCAATAGGAAGGATTATCCCATAATGGAAAATAGAAAATGTTCGAAACCACCAACCAGAGGTTAAAATGGGTTTGTTACCTAAATTGCTGTGAAGATACCTCTAGAGCATACCCCAAATCCCTCCAGCTTTGAATGGCGGTACTCTCCAGGGGTCTGCATTCGGGTGCAGTTTCAATCACACTCAAAGTAGTGGATGCATTTTTGGGGGATAAAATGAGATGTAATGACATCTTTCATGGAAGGTTGAAATATAATATACATATATCCCTATACATATGTATATAAATATATATAGTATTATAGGCATATAATGGGACATCTTCACGAGAGACATAACATAGCAAGCAAATACAATCGCATAAGGCACAGACTGGAAATTCTTTATGGGGTATTTCATGAAGTATGACGAGCCAGGTGTACAAATATGGTACTAGCAATAAATGGGATATGGTGAGGCCCAAAAAAAGACCTAGTGAAATGGCATATCCCCTATGGTAAGTAATATGACTTATATATGGGATTATAAACCACGAATCCCAAGTGGGATGCACATCTATGATTCATGATTTATGATGATTTATGATAATTCATGATGATTTATGATGATTTATGATGATTTATGATGATTTACTTGTCATACATGGTGTTTTTTGCTACAAATCATCACTTACAGAAGGGGTAGTATACATTATAGTCGACGATGATTGATAGGTATACAGGTAATTATATTTGTATGGTGATTAACATGTCATTGATTAAACCGGGACCAAAACCAACCATCCCTAAGTCATCACCATAAACAGATCTGGGTGAATTGCATCACTAACCTGAATTGTTGGGCCATGAATGGGGATGATTTCCCTATTAAAAAAAACATGAATCCAGGGTTAGGGAGAACAGGCTTCGGTCGTGATGAAATTGACCCAGACAGATGGCTATTATACCCCTTCTCTTCGTGCTTGAAATACACATCGTCCCGTCCATGGCCGCGCCTCTCGTCGACCGCCATGACCGACCGCCTGAGAATCGGAGGTGTGAAGCAACCAAAAAACGACGGAAACTGATATGTAACCAATGGGAAAACATTGTTAATAATGGTTAATAATGGTTAATCGTTAATCATGGTTAATACTTGTGATTAGTGGTTAATATTCATGTATGACGCCTCTGGTAATCAAAGGTGGCTAGCTGGAAAATCCACAAATATTTATATATTAATATACAGTAAGTGATTTTCCTCTCTAAAGCTCCATCTTTATTCGATTTGCATTGCTGGTGGCGGGGTACAGTGACGGGTAACGTCCATGAAAGTAGATCATATCCAATATGGAAACAGCATGGATTTCCATGTTTTGTAGAGGGTAAATCATCCGGTAAAAAACAACCCAGACAGATGGCTATTATACCCCTTCTCTTCGTGCTTGAAATACACATCGTCCCGTCCATGGCCGCGCCTCTCAAGCACCGAGACGAAGACTTGTCCGTCGCCGTCGACCGCCATGACCGACCGCCTGAGAATCGGAGGTGTGAAGCAACCAAAAAACGACGGAAACTGATATGTAACCAATGGGAAAACATGGTTTATAATGGTTAATAATGGTTAATCGTTAATGGTTAATACTTCCTGCACCGCCCAGTGGTACAGATAAATGTGTACTTTTAGGGTGTTTGGTACATTTTTGTGGTAAACGGGCAGATTCTGAAAACAACCTCATTTTCGAGCACATTTTTTAAAAGGCAACTGTGTGGACATATTTTTCCAAGTGGCTAATAATGGCTATGTTTTGTGCCGTTTTCAGTTTTGCCAGCCCCTTCCCAACTTGTGCTCAAACATATACGTCCAAATCAGCCCTGTTGGCAAGCATGTGGCTGGGTTTGAAGCCTAGTTGGCCTATATAGTTACTTTCACAATGTGTTTGTTGAAAGATGACATGGGCACAGATGATGTGACCAACATGCAGCTATTAATCTGTGCCAAATATCCTCATACCCCATATATAGCTTTACCATGATTTACTTCAATCAAAAAGCAAGGCTGCTGCGCACGATATTGAAGACGTTCTTGTTTCCATGCATGACTGGATGCATGACTTATTTTTCAGATGGTTGCATCTGATTCCTCCTCCAGGATAAAAATCGGAAATTTTCCGCCCGCTGTGAAATGTTTGAAGCCCTGCCCATGGGTAACTCATGGCACGACGCACAAGTGCTTGATGCATGGGACTATATGTGGAAACACCTCATGGCAAAAGTAGCCGGCCTGTGGCATGGCTGTGCATGACAAAGTTTGACCGTGAACTCTGGGAAACACGGTCAGATTGACGTTTGCTTGATGAAAAATGGCGCCTTGCATTAGGTCGGCTTTGACATGCATGATGTTGACATTTTGTGCCTGATATTATCCAAGGGTCTTGCGCGAAACGGGCGCGAAAACGCGCGAAACGGGCACAAAAAGGCGCGAAACGGGCGCGAAAAAAAAAGTGTACCACTTGACCCTCTTGTTTTGACCGTCATGACGTGTCGCGTGTTTTTGAAAACCCTTTTTACGCATGGTCCGAACAGAAGGCATGGTCCGAAGAGAAGGCGCCGCCATGTGGTCTTGAGCTTGTGGGGGGCATGTTGTTTCAGTCTGAGCCTAGCCAGTTCTTCCATCGACCGTTTAGTTCATGGAATGGCTTCATTTCCGTTTTACTTGGACCCCCGGTGCGCATGTTTCTGGATTTTGCCGCGTGTAGTGTTCATCTTATATATGTTATGTATTTGTTTGTTGTGACTGTGGTGTTTTTGCGTTGAATGTTGAATGTTGAACGCCCTGCATGACGATTCTTGGTGTGAAAAAAAAAGCCCGACTGTTGATGTGGTGTTGTGAAAATTGCGCTATAGCTGAAGGTTGTTTGCTGGAGGTATCTTGGCCATTCTTGGCCTATGAAAAAACATACGTGATGTTGAGGTGGATACTTTAGATTTACCCTGTCCAAAGCTCGGTTGTTTACATGTGCTGCGATGCAACCCATGTTGTCAGGCGTGGCTGTTCGAGGTCGTATTTGGCATGCTGCACATGCATTAGCGCGTGACAAAAGTGTCCTATCGAGCCTTTGGGGAAAGAATCAGGTTGATTACTATGGAGAGCCACGGAACTTCGGACACCTTTTTCTTTCAGACCCTTAAACGGGCACATTTTTTGAAATCGGGCAGAAAAAAAAATGGTACACATTTTTTTGTGTACCAATGGGAGGTTCAGGTTGTGATTAGTGGTTAATATTCATGTATGACGCCTCTGGTAATCAAAGGTGGCTAGCTGGAAAATCCACAAATATTTATATATTAATATACAGTAAGTGATTTTCCTCTCTAAAGCTCCATCTTTATTCGATTTGCATTGCTGGTGGCGGGGTACAGTGACGGGTAACGTCCATGAAAGTAGATCATATCCAATATGGAAACAGCATGGATTTCCATGTTTTGTAGAGGGTAAATCATGCGGTATATTCCCACAGTTATGGCCATTTACCAGTTATAACTGGTTATTTCTATGGGATTATACATTCTATAAATGGGGTTTTCTTAGTACTTATAACTGATAAATGGCCATAACTGCAGTAAATAACACTCATTTTCGCGTTTTTTGGTGAATTCCGCTTTTTTTGAAGGTCATTTTATCCCCATGGATTCATGTCCCCCAACTCATAGCAGGGTCAATGTGAGGTAAATCCCCAATTATCTCCAATTACATCCCATATCCGTCCAGGCGTATCCCCATGGGCCTGGGATGAAATCTTGGGCCTGAAATCAGACTTAACGGGATGATCTTCAACAAGTAACTACATTCAGGCCTTTTTTCCCCAGTATTTTTTGGGAAAAAAAAGGAATCTAACCCCTGGCGGTGGACAACATGGTTGAACTATTCACCGAAAAAAAGCCGGCAATTCGACCTATGGCCGAGGCTCCGCGACCCGTTTACAAATCGTACGCGGGCACAGCAAACATGTGCCATGGTCAAACTTATATTATGTATAAATATGTATTGGTATGTCAATGTACATGTCAATATACACCATAATATAATATAATATAATATAATACTTTACCATATTAATGATAATTATGTCATTATAATGATTTATCATCTTTTTCATAGGTATTGGTTTGTCATAATTACTAGTTATCCCTACAATGTAGGGCCCCCAAACGATAGCTAAGTTGGTGCCAATAACTCCAATAACTATGGTTTATTGTACTTATAACTATAATAGTATTCATGGGGTCTATAAACCAACTTAGCTATCTAGGGGGCCCCACATTGTAGTTCTACTCGTTACAAAGCAACTCACAAACCAACTTGGCGTTGGCGAATTTGAACCATCGCCAAGCCGCCGAGCTCAGCTGCACGCCAGCGCTAGCTCTTGGTGCGGGAATGCCATGTGGCCACAACGTTGTTCAGGGAAACAGTTGGTTTATGCGGGAACGATATTATATATAATATATATAAGTTTATTATATATATATATATATAAGTTGCTTAAAATCTTGCAAATGGATTAAGAAACATGTTCTGAAACCAAGAAACTGCGTGAAACATCTTCGTATACATATTATATGATCACGCAACAAAATCTGGCATACACAATATCGCACATCCTCAAATGCATAGGAAAAGCGAATCACTTTCCACTGGCACTTTGTGGGTTCATGCTCAGAAGTCTTGAAAGTCATCGGCACTTGATCAAGGCCCTGAAAATTCTGGAGACATAAACTGATACCTAAAACACCTGACAGAATTTTCAACATCATCCCCGTCAGGGGGCATTGAAGGCAATCAATTTCATGTAGCCACCAGAAACATCTTCAATTTTCTTCACCCTGCCGAGGCCAGTCGACAGCAAGGACAGCTTTTCCCCCCGGGTTGGACCATCATTTTCCCAGGATCTGATCATCTGAAAGCCATAGAGAAACCCCACAAAAAACCCCATCAGATGCCTGTGGTTGTTGATTCTACCTTTGGAAATGGGACATGGTTTTATACACATGTTTGCAGGAGAACTTTTGAGAGTGTTTATGATGATTAGTGTAAGAATGTTGACAGTTTGTTTCAAAAATGTTGGGCACAAAGTATTCATTCTCTATTAGACAAAGATGGCAGTGACGAATCCCATGTTTAGAGATCATGTTTGGAGAAAATTGTCTCATCTATCATCGATTTTCTGTATTTTACATGCCATTTATAAGGGATTACCCCTGCCAGCCATGTTTGATTGTCAGAAGGGTAAACTTTGATTTGGGGCGGGGATGGGCTCCATCGTGGGCACCGCCAGAGGCTGGTTTCGAACTTGGCTTCGAACAGGACAACAACTCCAACATTTATGTTTGCGTCTATATTATGATACATATATTTATCTCTGATTATAAATGCATGAGTTTATATAGATTCACTTGCTCAGGACTGCTCAGAACTCCCCAGATGGGTCGGTAAGCTTACAATGGATTAAAATGGGCGGATGAAGGCATCAACATATACCAATTTACCCTGCTTATTATAGCTATCATTCACCCAATGGGTTGGAGCAACCCTGCTACTGGTGGTCCCCACTCAGCGGCACATGTTCGACCCCCTAGACTTGGCCTATTTGTCGGCCCTGAGAAAATGGAACAATCTGGGGATTATCAAGAGATATGTGTCAATTGTGCCATTGTTTACCAACAAAAACAATAAACAAAACTGCCACATTCTTCGAAATCATTCATAATATATATATAATATATATATATATGTAGTTTTTCGAAAAATTATCGAATAAAGTTGTTATAAATTGTTCGCCCTTAACGACGACAACGAACACATCATACACATCATTGGATCAGAACTTGTCCTGAGTTTTCGTGGTCCACGCACCCACCTGAGCAGAAAAAAAGCTGTGGTTCACCTGGAAATATGGCTTTCCATATCGGTTACCACCCTGAAAACACTTGCTTTATCATGTTTTAGAAAGCTTTTTGGGGGCCCACTGGGCCCCCCATAAACAGTCGAACGAAAAAACCTGTTTGCGTTACTGGACTGGAATCCATTTCAATCCATTGCCGTTGACAAATCCAAATTTGAAGTGGTATTACGAAACAATGATCATTCATCAAAAAACTGTTGTACACCATGTTAATGTATGTGTATTATAAATATGGTAAGCCATAAACTATAAACAAACAGTATAGATATATTGGTGTGTTTTGGGTGGGGGAGAATGCTATATTAATTGCTATACATATATTCATAGTCATCCTGTAGACATGGACACCCCTCCAGAATTCCTCACTCAAACGGGCGACTTTCGCAGGATGACTGTGGAAAACCCATCATTTGTAGATCATCTTTATCCCCAGGCTAAATTCCATTCAATCACCATGTTTTTGTTGTTTTGTTGCTTGAATCACCCATGAAAAAAACAATTCATTGACATCCACTACCATCTGGTTATGACTAACAGCCATGGAAAATCACCATTTTTAAGA